TTAAATAGAATTCGTGCCTCATATCGAATTTACCGAGTATCATAATTCCTCCAGGTGGTAAAGATACCTCGAGACAAGTGCTGGGCATAGAAGCCACAGGGCATAAATCTGCAAAGAAGTAAAAAGCTAACCTTTGCAAACAATATGGCTTCTCTCTCACTTACCAACTTTACATTTCCCTGTATGGCCCCGGAAGATGACTGGTTAGCCAGAGACGGGTAAGATTCCTCAAGGGAGGAACAACCTAAGACAGGCACAGTCGCAGGGGGGCCATCAGGTGAGAATTTGGGGATCAACAGAGGTGAGGCTCAGAACCTCACCCCCCCTGCTTTGAGAGAAATCTTCTGCATCCGTGGATGTCTTGCTGCCCTTGTCTAGCCTGGATTAATACTTAGTCCATAGGCACACACCTGATCATCTGATCATCTACATTTGCCTTCTTACAGCACTAAACTATGTTTTCTACCTTTATCTTGCATCTACCTACCACTTCAGCATTTTATTAAAAATAAAAATAATAATAATAATAGGAGAAATGTGGGATCAACATATAAATCAAGTACAAAAATCAAATGAATATTCATATTTGACCTGATGGTTTATAGGTCATATTGCATGATCAAAACCGAAAGTTTCTGTGATGAATGCCCTTGTACTGTTCACCATGTAAGAATTTATTCACTCTGTAAGAATTCGTTCACCATGTAAGAACTTGTTCGTTATGCTTCAGAAGATTGGAGACTGACGAGAATTAGGCTTGAGATGGATTAATGATTGTACATTGAGCATTGACCCCCCTATACTGAATTTTATTGTTGTTAACAACCATTTGATCAATAAATATGAGAGATGCCCTCTCAAAAAAAAAAAAAAACAAAAAACTAAAAATAGAAATACCATTTGACCCAGGAATTCCACTCCTAGGAATTTACCCTAAGAATGCAGCAGCCCAGTTTGAAAAGACATATGCACCTGTATGTTTATCACAGCACTATTTACAATAGCCAAGAAATGGAAGCAACCTAAGTGTCCATCTGTAGATGAATGGATAAAGAAGAGGTGGTGCATATACACAATGGAATATTATTCAGCCATAAGAAGAAAATGAATCCTCCCATTTGCAACAACATGGACGGAGCTAGAGGGTATTATGCTCAGTGAAATAAGCCAGGCGGAGGTGGAGAAAGACAAGCACCAAATGATTTCACTCATCTGTGGAGCATAAGAACAAAGCAAAAACTGAAGGAACAAAACAGCAGCAGACTCACAGAACCCAAGAATGGACTGACAGTTACCAAAGGGAAAGGGACTCGGGAGGGTGGGTGGGGAGGGAGGGAGGGACAAGGGGAATGAGGGGCATCAGGGTCAGCACACATAAGGCAGGGGGGGCGCGGGGAGGGCGGTACAACACGGAGACGACAAGTAGTGACTCTACAGCGTCTCACTACGCGGATCGTCAGTGACTGTAATGGGGTGTGTGGGGGGGTATTGCATAATGGGAGGAATCTAGTAACCACATTGTTGCTCATGTGATTGTAGATTAATGATACCAAAATTTTAAAAATTAAAAAAAAAATAGCTCAGAGCGTTTTTGGAAACAGATATGAGATGTTGCTGTGTAAGGCCAGGAAAAGAACCCAGTTTCTTTCTTCGGGTAAAGCTGTGACTCGAGGAAGAGGGCAGGAGAGGTCTGCGCAGAATAGGGGCCACCCCATCAGGCTCTGGCCCAGAGGAGGTGCTATGATAGGTCTGCTGGACACATGGTCCTGCAAGCCTGTGTCCTTTCTCCTCCACATCTCCCCAAAGCCAGGCCCCAGGGACCAACTGATGCATTAAACCCAGTGGCATATGACAGCAAAGAGAAAGCCAGCAGGAGAGCCACTCCAGGGTGTCCCCCTCCCAATGCCAGGCCCTCTGGGGGTCTCCCTGCCTAAGTGCTGCTCAGAAAAGGGTCATGTGGCAGTGTCCCAAGTCCACTGGTGCGTGCTCTCCAAAAATGTGGACTCCAAGGAAGCCAAGCAAGTGGGGTGTGGGGTCTTGAGTTCCAAGGACAGTGGTGTTATCTACTGCAAACAGAGGGATCTACGATAAAATGTAGAGGTCCTATCAGTTAAACAGACACTTCCAAACATCTGCTCCCATATTTATTTCACAGGCAGCATCTAAAACACACATAAAAGACTGTCTGATGTTTGATTTCATTTTGAGTTTTCCTCTAGATGTGTGTTAACACGAAGACACAGCTATGGAAATCAGATACATTGACAAATTTTAAAAATAAATACAAAATAGTTGAAAGCAAATGGCTACAGAGCTACCATTATCTATACCTAACCTGAATCTGGGTTGAGGGGGGAAATGTACTCCCCAGGCACCCAGGGCTATTTCTGAGTCCCCTGAGGGCTGCAGACCTGCATGGTGGCAGCTATGAAATGCCTGCTGGCTCACGCCAACCCTGACGTATGTATCCATGGCCCTCGGAGAGAAGTCTCTGGAATTTCACTGAGCCGATGCACAATGAAGCATGTATCTGAAGCCCAAGGAAACATATCCTCTAACAGTGCCCAGACCACAACAGCTGTTTATGATAAACTGGGCTGGAGCAGAGGCAGAAGGGAGGACAGGGTGAAATACAGACCATGACAGAACAATTTAACTCTATTATAAATCTATGAAAGAAACTCACTGAAAGGGTGGCCTAAGTAACTTGGGAAATGAGTGGAGCCCATGAGACTCAAAGTAAGAGAAGTTGTACGGAAGCAGTACACTCTAGCTGGTAATGTCATTTCTCACAGGGGTACAGGGCAATTCTGATACCTTGCAAGTATACTGATTTGCACAGTTAAGTGGTGGGATGGCGGGAGTTAAGAGCCAGGTTTCTCACTGTTGGAGTGAATGGTTGCAAAGAAGCAGGCGGAGGGGGCTGGAGTGGTGAGCAGGTGGGAATGAATTAGAGCTGGAGACGTCAGGACAAATTCATGTTCAGTTTAACACAGGTTGAACTAAGTCTGTGTTTACATACAGATATGTTTGTGATGCATGCACCTGTAGTGGGCTGGCGCACATGCACGTATGTCCTTGCTGTGTTGGCTGAGGGGCTAAAAGCAAAGACTCCCTGCAGCAGCAGGCCTTCCAACCTCGAGGCCCTGGAGTCTGATGCCATTCTCTATAAAGGAACCGGGGCTCCTTGGAGGATGGGCTGATTCTAAGCCAGGGAGGAGGTGCATAGGACGAGCCCAGAGCATCTTGTAGTGACAGAACATGCTTTGCACACACTCACACAGATGGGTTATGTCAAAGGGCCACAGGGGCCGACTGCAGGAGCTGAAAATGGCCAAAGTGGGAACAATTTGAGCAACAGAATAAGTAAAGCAGTATTGGGTTATAGACCGATTATAAAATCAATATCCATGAGTTCATACTGATACAAGTTAATGATTCGATAAACACATGGGGCCAAAGAGAGAGGTCTTCCCTGTAGAAGAATTGCAAGTAGTTTAAGTAGACTCTCCACCCTCAGCCCCCATAATCTTAGGTGAGGGCTGCACATAGCAGTGTCCCTCTAAAGAGGACAGTGTGGAGAGGGGAGGGACAGTGAGTTTGCACGGAGACACCTGATGGACACTACTGTGGCCGGCGATCCAGTGGTATCAACGATAGCGAGTCGTGATATGAGAACAGCTCCTCGCCTCTAGGGTCTCCTCACCAAAACCCATCACCCCAGCCTCATCATGAGGAAAGCAGCAGACAGACCCCAAGCAGGGGACATTCTGCACAGCGCCTGACAGCGTTCTTCAAACTGTCCAGGTCATTAAGGCCGAGGCAAGTTACAGCCCAGAGAGGGCAAAGGATGGTGGTGACTGACATGATGTCTTCTGGATGAGCTCATGGAACAGAATGTGCATATTAGGTAAAAATCAAGGGAATATGAAGCAAGTATGGACTCCGATAATAAAATGCATTGGTCCAACCACTGTAACAAAGGCAACCTACAAGTGTCAGATGTTATAGCAGGGGAGACCAGGTGGGGTGGTTGGGAGCTCTGTACCGCCCAAGAATTTTCCTGTAAATCGAAAATGGTTCTCAGTGGAAAAGCTTAAGATTCACACAGTATACATTCAACTCACATATGCAGTATATATACAACTCATATTTTATATATATATTATATATACAATGGATGTTATATATATTTATATGTACAACTGTGCATATGTATCTCATGTTATATATATATATATATTTATATATATTTATATTATATATATTATGTCACTCCCATTTGCAGTTAGGAAATGGAAACAGAGTGAGCTGGCCCCAGACCACTCAGCTTGTTAGTTAGTGGTGGGGCTGGCCCTCAGCCAGCAGCCAGCCAGGGCCTGGGGTCCATGCCCTTTGCCACCACACCATACCGCCTCTCCCACAGGGCTCTCCGAACACCTTGTCCCCTCGGAGCTCCGAGTAAACCCATCCCAGCTTCCCATTCCCTCGCACACTCCCAGCCGGGAAGCCCCAGGCAGGTCTGCCGTGGCCATTGGACCCTGTGCCCGCGGGCGCCACCCGGTGGTCAGCCTTGTTTCCTGCAGCACGCTCCCTGCTTGCCGCTCCTCCAGGCTGTATGGGGGCTATGAAGCTCTGAAGGGCGGCAGTGCCATCGAGGCCATGGAAGACTTCACCGGGGGTGTGGCTGAGACCTTCACAACGAAGGAGGCTCCACAGAATCTCTACAAGATCCTAGAGAACGCCTTGAAGAGGGGCTCTCTGTTGGGCTGCTCCATTGATGAAAGTCGCTTGCTTGCTCATGCTCCAGGCACTGTTCCAGGACTAGAGGTATGACTGGGTGCCCTGGCCACAGACAAGGAGGGATGTAACCTTCACGGGGAGGAGGGTGTCCATGTTTGTTTATTTTAATTAGAACAGTAGTTTTTATTTCATATATTTCAAATCACAAAGGTAAGGCATTCTTGCCATATCAGGTAAAGCAATCCTGAGGTATTTAAAGGCAAATTTCTCCCTTCCCCAGTCTCCCTGCTCTGTGACACCTGGTGCATGCCTTTCAGTCTCTCTCCTTGCTCACACAAACGGGCACACGCATGTGTACACAAAATTAGGGATGTTTCCGTTTGATTTTACTAAATGGAATCTTACTATATAATTTTCTGAAGCATGTTTTTTTCACTTCATATGCTATGGAAAGTATATCACACCAGTAGACTGAACTCTAACTGTACTTCTTCTGATTTCTTTATGCACACAAACTCATACAATATACCTCATCTAGTTTTTGAAATCAATTCAAACTTTCCATTTTCTCTTCACTCAGTCTTGAGAGCTTATTCTTCACTGTTAAGTTCTCCATTTCCTCTGAATTTTCCAGTCTGTGGCACATAGGCTCAGTAGTACTGCTGTGTGCTTCTGATCACCTCTCTGGGGCATGGAATTGTGCTTTGGCCTTGTGCTGGCTTCACCATGGGTATGGCCAAGCTGTATTGTCTGGGGACAACAAAGAAGAATATTTTGTTGGAGAACAAGCTGGGACTGAGAGTCCCCTCACCCTGGGAATTGCTGTGGGTCGCTGCTGACCAACTTAGAGGTGTTCTGTGTACTCATTTTAGATGCTCCAGGCACACAGCCCTCACCAGAGGGAGCAAGAGAGGGGGCAGGCCAGGCAGTGATCCGGGTCTAGGCAAGTAAGGAATGCTTGGGGTGCGTGATGGGTCCCACTCTGCTCTTTTCATGTTTTAGATCAGGAATGCTGCAGAATCTGAAGCCCGGACACCTTTTGGTCTCATTAAGGGGCATGCCTATACAGTGACGGGAACTGACCAGGTAGGGACATGAATCCCTGGGGAAAGGGGATAAGGGTCCACTTGTCAATGCTGATTCCAAACAGTGCAGCAAGAGAGAGAGAAACGTGCAATTCCACCACAGTAACAAGTTTGTTTAGCAGGTGTGAGAAAGTGGTCTTTGTTTTTTCTTTTCTCCCCTAATTCCACATCAGCCCTGTAATAGTCAGGATTCTTCAGACAAAAATAACTGACAAGATATAGCTATAGTTATAGATACAAAAAGATTTGTTAGGAGGACTTGGCTCACATGATTAGGAAGGCTGAGCAGTCTCCCATCTGCCATGGGTAAGCCGGAGACCCAGAAAAGCTGGTGGTGTGGTTCCAGTCTGAGTCCCAGAGCCTGAAAAGCAGAACCTGTGGTATGAGTCCCAGTCCAGGAGCAGACGAGGACCAGCTCCAGCTCAGCAGTCAGGCAGAGCCCAGGAGCTTCCCCTTCCCTCCTGTCTTGTTTCTATTTGGACATTCAGCTGATTAGATGAGGCCCGCCCCTTTGGTGGGGGGCATCTGCTTTACTTGGTCTACCAATTCAAATGCTGATCTCCCCTGGTAACACCCTCACAGACACATCCAGAAAAATGTATAACCCAGTATCTGGGTGCCACGGCCCAGTCAAGTTGCCACATAAAGTTAACCATCCCAAGTCCTATTCTCCGCAGCTACAGGGCAGGGTGGAACCACTTCCCAGGGGCCACGAGACCCCACCCAGCACCGCTCTGGCCTCTGGTGAGTGCTTGGTTCAGAGAGAGCTCCTTGAGGGACGCACAGAAAAGGGAGGGAAAGGAGTGACGTGAAAGAGGAAGAGAAGCAGCCAAGGGTTGCTCCCTCTTAGGTTCAAGGTCAGTGAAGTCCAAAGGCCTGCCTTTGCCCACTCCATGCCTCTCTTGGACAAGCCTCAGACCTGGTTTACAGAGGACACAACCTCCGTCTCTGGTAGCTGCCCAAGTTTTGAGTAGCACACTACAAATGTGAGGGAGCAGAGTTCTGGAGACCCTGGCCCTCCTCCTCCCCAGGGACCGTGAGTGGTGTGGGAAGTGTCAGTGAATTATTTAGAGTTACTGCTCTTTGCACTGATTCCTTCCCTCCTCCTTCCCTGTCCATATATTCCTTGCTAATCACTCACTTGAGGAGGCATGTGATTTTTAATGTTAGATCTTCCGAGTGTTATTCCAGCAGAAACCTTCCATCATGTCTGTTCAATTGCTTTTGCTCTCTCTCTACCTATGAGGAATTCAGCTTCCCTGTGCATTTCAATTAATGAACCACTTAAATGATGAACTGCAAGTTGCATTTTGGACTCTGGAGAGATTATAATAACAAATTGTTTTCTCACAATAATTGTATATTTTATGCCCAATACATGGAGATAAAATGTTCTGAGAGTTACAAGTTTCTAGCTGGTTGATGAATAGAAGTCTTTTACTTCCACTCCCTTTCTTCTAAAACTTTCTAAAATACAACTGGTCCTCTTTCGTGCTCCAGGGCAGAGCATGAAGGGCATGGCTGCATCATCTTTCTTTACTGGCTTAAGAGTTCTCAATGAAGACAGCAGAAATCCTCATCTGACACGTGAGAGGGAGAGAATGCTGGATCTGGAAAACTTAGAAGTGTTTTTTTTTTAATTGTTTAAATCCCCAGCATATGTTTATGTTCCTGTCTTTGTAAGTAAAATGTTAAGGATGAAGAAAACTCAGTCCAGGTGCCTTGAGTACTTCTGAGAGTGACTCTTCACCCCCTCACTGTCTGAGCTGCTGAGGATGGACAGATGTGTAAGACTTGGTCCCAGGAATCTCAGGGAGATTCCAGTGTAGAGAGAAAACTCATTCATTTGAAGGCTCACGTGGACTGATTTCCTGTTCATTTTTTATTTCCCACATGCAGCATAACCATCCTGGGGGATTAATATGACATCACTGGTAATGCTAGGCACTGTGCTCAGTAAGAATTAGGAAACTCCAAGGGCTAGCTAAGAGCTCATGAATTTTGAAGTGTCTTTTTAGTGTGCTAAGAGGCTTTGGCCAATGGTGGCCCTGGATGGAGGCCAGCCGCTTTGGAGCTAACGGACAAAGCCATGATTTCATTTCCCTGATGCTTTTCCCTTCAAGGTAAACCTCCGAGGCCAGAAAATGGGGCACATCAGGGTCCGAAACCCTTGGGGCCAGAGCGAGTGGAACGGCTCCTGGAGCGACAGGTCGGTCCCCACCTCCTCGATGTCACGGGGGGCAGGGCTGTGGCCTGTCCAGACAGAGAAGGAGTAGCTGGCTGCCGCTGTGCCCTGGCTCTGCTGCAGGGCTCTGTCCTGCTTCCAGCAGCCTTACCTAGCAGCCCTTGGGCCCACCTTGCAGTCAACCTTGATTCTCAAGCAAGATTCTTATATTGATGTTTTCATGTCCACACAATGGTATTTATGTGAGTGAGCGGATCCCTTCCCATGGGGATTTTTCATATCCCCTCATACTGTGAAAGGATTTTGTTTCTGGTTATGAAGACCTCCAGTAAGCAATGTGCTTGTGTGTGTGCACGCCTGCACACACACATTGGCAGTTGCCAATGAGTATTTGGAGTGCGAGAATCCCTACAGCATTGCCAAGCAGGCCACTAGAGGATTCTTTCTGATGGTCATTGTCCATTTGCCAGGGCCCAGTGGCCCAGCAGAGAGAGAGGAGGTGGACTAGGAATTCATCCTGTACAGAGCAGCCAACCAGGGTTACTTATTAGACCCCCAGTTAAAAGGTCTGCCTTTTGGGGTGTATCCGATCTTTGTCCCTTGGGCAGTGGCCCAGGTGACGAACATCAGAGGACGTTTAGGCACGCGTGGGCAGGGCCACTCAGAGCTGTTTCTCCCCATCCCACCTCCCTCGGCCAGGGCTCCGCTGCCCCTGGCCCCTGCCGTCCTGCCCTGGCCCACTCCTGGCTCCTGGGGCTCTGTGGAGCCCTGCAAAGAGTCCAGAACTTGAGTCAGACTGAAAGGCTGTTTGTCCTCAGCTCAGACGAAGCCAACCATGCTTTGCACACACACACACACAGATGGGTTATGTCAAAGGGCCACAGGGGCCGACTGCAGGAGCTGAAAATGGCCAAAGTGGGAACAATTTGAGCAACAGTGCGTGCCCCCGGTTCTGCCTGCGCCCCACTGCTGCTCCCGCCCCGTCCCTTCCTCCGCAGGCACCCCACCCTCTCCCTGGCTTCCACCTCTCAAAACCTGGGGCTCTGGCAGAGTGACTGGAACACTGAAGGAGGGAAGGGATGCGCCTACGCCTCCTGGTGGAAATGGAAAGAACAGGAATGCTGAGACCCAAGTTAACGAGACTGCTTCAGCTCGTGAGCAGCCTCGTAGGGCCCCTCAATCTCGGAACCCAGTCTCTAAAGGACAGGGGCCACTCTCTTTCTCCTGGGAAATGTGTGCGTCGGGGGTGGAATCGAGAGTGCATTGTCACTGAAGTCAAGGCTGGAGGCAAGCCAGCCAACTGCACCTGTTCAGCCCTGGGGTGACAGAGGCCAGGCCGTGCTGACCCCCTCCCCTGGTCCTGCCAGTCCCCAGCACGGGGGCTGAAAGCACCACCCCATCGCCAGGTGTCAGGAGTCTCACGGGAGTCCGTGTGATCTGGAAAGCACCACTTAGCCAGCAGGACGTTCTCCGTACACATGACGCTTACAGGCAATGGCTCTGAGCTCTGCTCCTCTGACTCTGGAGCGAGGGACCTGGAGAGGGTCTCCTCCTGAGCCCTGCCCCCAAAGCCAAGCAAGTCACGCTCTAAGGGTGTAGATGAGATCGTCCCGCAGCAGTGAAGACCCACCTGGAAGTCTCTGGAGGTGGCTGTGAGAGTCGCAGAGACAGTGGATTCGAAGGCAGCACCACTGAGTCTGGGGGATGGTGGGCGGCTGCTCTGCCAAGCCCTCTTGTCCGTAGGACGGCGCATCTGACTCTCAGATTCCTACCTGGCTTCCTAGCAAGGGTGCCTAAGAGAGCAACTTGGTATGCTAAATGCTGAGCACAAATGCACGTATTACCACTTCTCCAGTATCACTTATCAATGAAGAGGGGAGGCCAGGAGCGCTCCAGACAACACGTCTCAATCCACCGTGGCTTCCAGCTGGGCTTGTTCTGTGGCCCTGTTGGTGTTCCACTCTCTGTGCTGGTTCCGTGATCATCTCTGGAGGAGGGTCAGCGGCCCCCAGGGTCCCCCAGCTGCACCTGGAGATGCACCTGCCATTTCTGGGCCCAATGAGTAGTTCCCGACCAGGACCAGTTGCCTGCATAACCGCATGCCCCAGCTCCCCGGGGACACACCTCCCAAGGCCAGGAGTGTCACTGCTCAGAACCCTCCACCTCTCCCTAAATGCTGACTTTGTCTCCCCCTAGTTCTTCCGAGTGGTGTTCGGTCGGCCCAGCTGAGCAGAAGCGCCTGTGCCACACCACTCTGGAAGACGATGGGGAATTCTGGTACTGTGCTTGTCTCTGTGTCCATTTCCCTGTCCATCCCCCTGTTCCCACTGCCCACTCCCATGGACACCAACCCAGGAGGCAGATAAGAATGTGTGCCCCAGGCCTTGGGTGTAAGGAGCACTGCCTTTCTCTCCTTTTTTTTTTCTGTAAACCAAACACATCTGTTTCAAACACCTTACATCCACCCGGGCTGGCAGAGAATTTAATGTGTCCCGTTTTGGGGACCTACCCCATCTCCAGGTGTCAGGAGTCTCACTGGAGTCAGTGTGATCCGGAAACCGTGGGGCAGTCTCTGCTCCCCAGCAACAGTGCCCCTCCCTCTGAGATAGGCAGTGTCCCAGGTTCACACAGGGAATTTGCAGACAGGCAACCTGCTGCTCACAGGATCTATTCCCTCTCTGCCTTTGATGTCAGGGATCCTCACAGGCAGCTACCTTGTGAGAGCATCTAAAAATACAGACGTAAGTCGAAAGGAACCACTCCTAACCTAGCCTTTCCACAGGGCTGACTCTTTATTTAACTGAAAATTTCATTTAACTGGGCCTTCATCTCCAGAAGCCTTTTCAAAATCGTATTCCTTCCTTGGGGTCCAGAAACAGTTGCCCCTTCCAACTGGACACCATCACAAATTTCTGATTTCTAGCTCTGTTACCTGGTGAACAAACCAGTCAGTGCTTGCCTGATCTCATCTCTTTCTTAAAACACCTTACTAAATCCAATAAGCAAAAACCAGCCCACATACATATTCCAGCATTTTCTCTTTTCTCCTAAAGCACAGCCCCAGTGGGTATGCGCTGTCTTCCATACTTTTACAGACAGCAGGTTTAACCAATATATGCATTCATAACATGCATATCTATTATCAAGCTCCACTATTTTTTGGCAACCTCCTGCCCAGCCGCTGAACTGACGTCACTTTAGAACTGTCACACCGGCTCTGCCCTTCAAAGTGTAGGGAACACCAGGGACAGGCCAGCACCAGCCACTGCAACAAATAAACTCAAATACAATAACATTTCTTTCTCACTCATAACAGTGTAGCAGGAGGGCTGTCATCCCCAGGGGGCCCTCCGTGCAGTGGGTGATTCAGGGCTCCTTCCAGTGTGTGGCTCCACCACCTCCTAGACCCACAGGGTTACCTGCAGCAAGCCAGCAGAACAGGGAAAAAATGGACAGAGAAGACATCCCCACTTGCTGAAGGCCTTGACAGAAGTAACACACATCACTGCTGACCCCCGACCCATGGTTCTGGGGGATAGGGTGCAGCCCCTGGCCCCGGTCTGGTGGGCGGACGTGGGTGGCCGGATATCCATGTCTGCCTTGGGAGCCATGAGGTCATAAGTGGAAGAAACGTGTGGAAAGCGTGCAGGGTGTTTGAGAGGTGTTTGCAAGCAGTTGAATTGGAAATTAGAGACTTGAATTCTGAGTGCAGAGGCTCTGGGTTAATGAATTACCTGACAAGAGCAAAACTTTGAGAGGAAAGTTGGGTTCTGGAGTTAATATCCAACCCTCACCCTCACCAGATTGCTAAATACGAGCAGGAGATAGAACCACAACTTGAGAGGCTCTCTGCTGTCAAGCTCGTGGCAGGAAGGAAGGAGAAAAGGGGGGAGGAGAGGAGGGCATCACAGTGGAGGCCCTGCAGAGAAGGGAGCCCTGGTCGGGGGTCCATTGCTGGGCTGCACCTTGTCCTGGGGCTGCACCTGCCCAGCAGGGCCGGGGCTAAGGCCGCAGGGGCACCTATAGGAGCCCTGACCCTGGAGCCCTGCCCCGCCTCTTCCCACTCCCATCTGGCCCCCACGCAAGGCCCTGGCTCTGTCCTTATTCAGGAGGCCCCCCTTTCTACTGACTCCTTTCCACTAGCATTCCAGTGCTATGACCTCACTGCCTCAAAGGAGGAAATGCCTCTTCTGACCCATCCAAGCCACCTGATCAGCTCTCTGCCCTGGAGCGAGCCCACCAGCACCTCCTGCCGCCCACCGTGCCACCTTGGCCCCGCTCAGCTGCAGGGTGTGCCCAGCCAGCCCACTGAGACGGCCCTGGCAGGGACGCCACAGACTCTCACCTTGCTGCCTGGATGCCGGGTTCCACTGGGCCTCCTTCTCAAAGGCCTGTCCTGGTCCGGCCTCACCCTGCTAATCTGACCACCAGGCTCGGTCCCTGGACCCCCGTCACCACCTGCTCCCTCTCTGTAGTGGATCTCATCCTGTCCCATGAGGTTAAAGACCATTTTTAACACGATAACCAACTCCCCCAAATTCCAGATCTATATCCAGGTCTGCCTATTGGACACCTCTCTGAATATCCTACCAGTATCTCACACCAACACGTTCAAAGCGCAGGGCCAAGCTCTCCCTGACTCGCTCTGGCACCACCTCCCCAACTCCCACCCGTCCAGGTGCTCAGCCCAGGCGCCTTGACGACGCCCATCCTCCCTTCCTGCACCCAGCCTACCAGCAGGCCCTGTAGGATCCACCTTCAGAAGATGCCGCAAGTGGGGCCACCTCCTCTCCTACTGGCCTGGACTTGAACACCCTCATCTCTCACCTGACGATGGTGCAAACTTCACACTGTGGCCCTGCTTCCATCTGTGCCCTGAAATCTGTTCTCAACACAGCAGCCGTGGGCCGTGTTCCTCCTCTGCCTAATACCTCCCGGGATCTCTCTGTCTGCTCAGAGTCCGAGCCAACAGCCTTACAGGACCAAGCTGGTGTGCCAGGGTCTTGGATCTTACCCATGCTCACACCTCGTGCCACCTCACTGGCCTTCGTGGTGTTGGCAAGCATAGCAGGCACTGTCCGGCCTCAGGACCTGGCTCTCCATCTGCCTGGAGTGCCCGCCAGCTGCAGGTCTCCACACCTGATCACTGCACTTTGCTGCCTCCCTGTTTACATGGCACCCCCCGTTACACACTCATCGTTGACCTTAGTTTTCTCTGTAGCACTTACACAGATGTATGTATATACAAAATATATCACCCTTCTTTTTGCCTTCTTAAGGCTTTTTATCCTTTTCTTTACCTTTCTTGTGCACAGGTGTCTCTCCACACCTGAGGTCTCCACATTCCTTGAGGACAGGCACAGGCCCTTGGTAACTGTTGGTAGATGATTGACTTAAGGAAAGGGCATATCGTTGCCAACACCTCCAACACGCTGCATCTTTCTACTTTGTTGCAGGATGGCATTTAAGGACTTCAAAGCCCATTTTGACAAAGTGGAGATCTGCAACCTCACTCCTGATGCCCTGGAGGAGGACACCCTGCAGAAGCGGGAGGTGACTGTCCACCAAGGAAGCTGGGTGCGGGGCTCCACGGCAGGGGGCTGCCGCAACTTCCTGGGTCCATAGTCTGCCTGCCGCTCTCTCTGTCGTTACCCAGTGTCCAGTCCAACCCGGGGCATCATGAGATCAGGGCTAGGACCCCAGAGAAAGCTGGAGTCATGGAGTCCAAGTAGGATTTCTGGGATGACTGGGGAAAAGGGCTGCAGAGGTTTAGCAGGAAGCTGGTTAAGAAGTGCTCAGGGAAATTCCCTTGTCCTGCCACTCACGTTCTTTTCCATGAACAGTGATAGAAAACACAACTCAACACTGGCCCAGCAGTAGTATTGTACTAAGTGAGAATTTCAGAGAAGTAGGGTGGGCTTCAGGCACAGTTCTATCAGCCCATTTGTTTTTAACTCTCTGTTCTGCCCTCACACTTCTGCTGACTTCTTCCTCAGTCTGGGTTTCTTTTTAGTTGTAGGAGGGCTGCCAGCAGCATCCAGGGCTTCCTGAGCCCACAATCACATGTCCAGCAAGAGTTCCCAGGGGCCATCAAACAGCAGTCCCAGCTTCCCTCCCACTGGGAATTCCTTGAACCAACATTGCCTGGTGGATGCTATGGGCTGATGGCTTTGTTCCGATTCTCCACGTGTAGACAAGAGGGGCTAGCACAGACCTGCCTGAGTTCCCCCCTCAGAGCCGGGAGGGAGGTCCTTTCCATTTAAAACGCACACACACACGTGCACTGCACTCTGCCTGGAAATGCCCAGTGGAAAAGATAAGAGGGAACAAACTGCAGTCGATGAGATCTGGAAGAATGTCTTTTAAAAGTTTCATGGGTAATTGTTTAAAGGAACAATTTTGTGTTTCTTTAAAGGAAAGGGAAATAACCAGCCTCCTTCCAATGGCAGATACCTTTTGGACCAACCCACAGATAAAGCTGTCCCTGACCAAGAAAGATGAGGGGCAGGAGGTATGCACTTTCCTTGTCACCGTGATGCAGAAAAATCTTGGAAACTCAAGAGGTTTGGTGCCAACATGCTGACCATCGGCTATGCCATCTACTAGGTGGGTAGGAACAAAATTGTCCATCCGCAGCCACAATCTGAATTCTGAAATCTCAGTACCCCACCCAGCCTCTGCCCGAGATTCAATGGCCAGTCCCCAGCTGTGTCCAAATAGCCAAGACCAGTGGCCCCGGAGAGCCACCGCTCACCTCCCATTGCAGTGCCCGGGCAAAGACGAGCATCTGAACAGAGACTTCTTCAGATATCATGCTTCCCAGGCCCGAAGCAAAACATTCATCAACCTGAGAGAAGTCTCAGACCGGTTCAAGCTGCCCCCCAGGGAGTACATCCTCATCCCCAGCACGTTTGAGCCCCACCAGGAAGCTGACTTCTGCCTGAGGATCTTTTCGGAGAAGAAAGCCTTCACGTGGTGTTTAATGGGCTCCAGGACCCCTCTTTGTCTAGTGGCTCAGTCACAGAGGTCACCGGGGGACTGTCAGAGCCAATTTTCCCTTTTCCACCTTCTGCCTGAGAAACCAGGTGGGGCGGGGATGGGGGGCGGGGTTCCTACTCCATTGGCAGAGCAGGAGACATTTACATCGAGGGCTGCTCCTGTCCCCTCGACTGGCCATAAACACGTTGCTCTCTCCAACCACTCCCAGCCTCTTGGGTGCAGCATTTCATTTTCTAGCCCCTAGTACCAAGAAACTCGTGGGGCAGGATCCACATGTAGGGATGCTAGACTGACTTCTGCGCACAATGAAGGGGTGTGTGTGGCTATTGTGAGCTTAAGAGTAACCTGTTCTTTCAGCTCCAGCTTAAGTACATGTCTGTGAGCGGTTTGGATTTGGCCTCAGCCTACCCATAGTGAAGCTCTTGCTCCGAATGCCTGAGGGCACCCCCGGGGCCTGAGCTGCTTTGGCAGCCCCCACAGACACTTCCTACTGGGGCCAGTGTTGTGGCTGGACAAGTCTCATGAACCTTATTTTCCATAGGTTACTTCTAGGGAAAAATTTCCCATTCCTGCCCCCCTGCCGTTGGTTGCTTTGTGGCAGAGGAGAAAAAAGTGGTTCAAGATGTAAGAATCCATTTCCTCTCCCAGTGGAGACAGACATTCTAGGGAATGGGAAAATCTACGAATTCTGTATTTAAGCTTGATCCGTCCCCAACAGAGGGCCGACCAGAGAGAACAAAGTAGAGACAGCTGTGACTCTGTGGCCTGCTCTGATTTTATCTTTTCTTCAGTAGAATAGAACTGGATGAGTGGCGGGTGTTGAGAATCCTCCCAGTTATAAAGTCTGATTGAGTTTCTCAAGCTGACTTTAAAAGGCCTGGTTCCTTCTTATCAGCTAAATAGAAGTAATAAAATCTTTAATTTTTAAAAACTCTGCTGGCCTGTCTTCTCCCAGATACTAACACGAGCTGAGGGTGGATTTCCCAGTATCTGTTCACACCAAAGCACGCAGACTGGCAAATCACAGGGGTGCAAGAACACAGGGGCGAAAGCTGGGCTGTGCCGTCCCGCACTTGGTGTTCTCTGCCCTACCGACAGGGTGAGGTCAGAGTCCTCGGCATTTGCGTGTGCCTCCTGCACGGCCAGGCTATCTCTAAGCTCATTCTTGCCCTGAGCAAGATTCTTTCATGTGCTGTGGTAGCTCAACACAGAAGAGGCACTCTAAGCTCTATTTCCATCAGCTTAGTTCACAGGGGAGGGTCCTAAACAATAAAAAAAGCTCAGAAAGGATCCTGTGTTGGTGCCCAGAGTATGAGTACAGGGAGGACCCCCAGTTCCTCATCGATGGCCACTTATTTGCACCCCTTTTGAGATGGCAGCACATTTCCTTTGGGAGCACCTCAGGTTTTATTCTAGAAGACCAGTTTCTTCCAAATGTTTTTAACAGCAACAAAAGCTGAAGCCTGCTCCTCCTCTCAGGGTGACTGTCTCCAGACACTAGGAGTTCCACTAAATATGTGCACAGCAATTACCCTTCTCCACTATTTTTACTCTTTTCTGCAAACATAAGTGCCCCCACACAGCCCCCAGCTGGTGGGTGTGGGGATTTACATTGTGGGAAGGGGATTACAGCTTTAGGGGTGGTCTCTTTGGTTCTAGCTCAACTTGCTCTATAAACTTTTAAAATTCCCCCACCAATTATTGACCATCCATAGGCTGAATGGCTGTGTCCATACTTTGGAGAGGTAGAGCGCACAGGGGCTGTGCGGTGAACCTGTTTGGCGCAAGGGTCCTCAATACCGCCATTCTACATGCCGGTCCCTAAGCGTCCCTTGTCACAGCGCACCAGGGACTCAGGGAGTGACTGCTTAGCCGGCCTCTTTCACTTCCAGAAGCCCAGAACTTGCAAGTTCTCCTTGAGGGATGGCTAACCAGCCTGCCTCTTACTTCCAGGCTGGGCAGAGTCTGAGCTATGGTGTTGGGGTGAAGGGGAGATGCAGGGAGCCTGCAGACCCTGCAAAATGTAAACCTCACTGAGAAAGGACTTCAGGGGGACAGAATCTTCCAGTAACTCTGGATCCTAGCACTGCAGATCCCCACGAGGATGCTGATCCGGAGAGTGGGTAAGTGTGCTCTCCACTCCACAGGGACATGGATGGAGATGTCAACATTGACCTTCCTGAGGTAAGCCTTGCTGTGTTTCTCTGGAGGATGGGATCCAGTGGGATTCAGTGACTGCCCTGGAAAGCTCCCTTCAGCCATAGCATCAGTTACAGCTCTGAAAGTCAAGGGATTGGCAGTCTGTGGTCAGGTAAACACTGGACCCCAACCTCTGGGAGAACGGGCTTTGGGCCTTCCAAGTCACACCCCACAGGACCAGCATGGAGATGGGGTAGGTGTGCACGAAGCTACGCTTGGAGTGATCTCTGAGAGTGGCTGCTACGTCTGAAGGGGATGGGATAGTTGTAAAGTGCATTCACTTTAAGAATGATAAAATGGGAGCAGACAGTTGATTATTCTACTGTGGACTGGGGAGCACACTATGTCTTCCCCACATTGTATGTGGGTTAATTTTTGGGAGGTAGGGCTGGTTTTAAACCTGTCCAAGGGCTGTAAGACTCAGCAGAGGTGCTGAGGTGTGGCCAGGGTGGCCGGACACGTGAAGTCAGCAGCGACCTGCTTTTAGGAGCAGCCTGCGGCTTATTAACAGGGCTAAACACCAGACCAGACCAAACACACCAAAACATTGCCTGAGCTCTTTCCATGCACAGTTGACCCTTGAACCAAGCAGGAGTTAGGGGTGCAGACTCCCACTCCCCACAATAGGAAATATGCATATAACTTTTGACTCCTAAAAAACTTAACTTAGCCTGCTGGTGACTGGAAGCCTAGGAGATAACATGAACAGTCAATCAACACATTTGTATGTTATATGTATTACCTTTACTGTATTACTACAATAAAGTAAGCTAGAGGAAAGAAAATGTGCCTAAGAAAATCATAAGAGAAAATGCATTTGCACTACTGTACTGTGTTCTTTGAAAAACATCCATGTCTAAGTGGACTCGAGTTGCTCAAGGGTCAGTGGGGGTGGTGAGTGGTGAGGTGCAGATAGTACAGGGAGTGGTGACCCCCTGGCCAGGACCCTAATGGGGTCAGGAGCCTGGCTGCCTTTCTCACTCCCACCTACCAGGCCAGGAGTCTCTAGGAGTCCCACTAACAAGTCCCTCCAGACTCTCTTCTGAAGGGGCCTCGACGAGGAGGGGGGGCTGCCATTCCTGATCTGCAGGCAGCAGCCAGGTCTAAGCACTGCTAACCAGCACACACAGTTCCAGCCTCTCCCACTGGGTGTCACCCCCCCCCCCCCCCCC